GCTGCTACTGTGTTGACAGGAACCTGTGTCCAGATCTTTATCACAGCATGGGCTGAGTGGTTCACAGAGTTGAGCTGTATATAGAAACATTCTTTCTAGCTTACAAACCTTTCAAGGAAATTCCAGCTGCTATTGCCATGAAGTGTCCTCCTGAGATATTTCACACTAAATCTGATTGTATATTTTGTATTCTGTGTCCTTACAGAGATTCCAAGGAATGGCGGTGATGATAAGAACAAAAATGTGGAAAGAAATCCATCCAATATCTTACCAGGTAATGGTTATTAATATCATTTTTACACTGACTTCGATTAACTCACTGGTTTCATCACATATGTACTATACCTGTTGTCTCTTCCTTAAGGTGAGTTTTACATCTCGCGCCACTCCAACCTGTCAGAGGTCCATTCTGTCTTCCACCTGTGCGTGGACGACAACGTGCGGTCGGGGAACATCACGGCCCGGGACCCGGCCATCATGGGCTTGAGGAACATCCTGAAAGTCTGCTGCACACATGACATCACCACCGTCACCGTACCGTTGCTGCTGGTCCACGACATGTCTGAGGTAAGAGAAGCACAGTGAACGCTTGTACGTGTGTGGATGATGTTGTAACACACCAGTCTCCACACACACTCGTACACTTCAAGGATTATAATAATGTACTAATGTTATACCTCAAGGTAATTAAACCCAAATTAAAAATTCAGTGATTCAGTCCGTGTTTGTTCAAATTGTGTTTTAGTTTGTCTGACCAAGAAAACATACAGTGAGTTAGCTCCCACCGTTCTCCCAGACTGCATGAGTTACTTTGTACAGCTCCAAAAACTGTGTAAAACGTTTTTCATTTGGATTTCTCCAAATGTAGAATAGGAGAAAATAGTGCGTATATCAAGGTAAATGTTTGAGTTGGACAGTGCAATTGTTGGCTATCAAACACTTGACTTAAATAGATTAGGAAACGGCAGCAGTGTAAGCACTACTGACAAATAGCTCTGTATTCGGTGGACCTGTGAGATTTAGTGGATTTGTACCTCAGGTGAGTAAGGTGTCTTGGGTTCTTGTACCACGGGGAGCTCTTCTGCGTCTGTCAGCGTACGGCTCTACTAATTCTTAAAAATAAAGTACTATATGAAGCCAATATTTCCACTGTACCTGTACTGTAAAAAGTAGTTGGCAAGCAAGCGGAGAAGTTTAAACAGTTAAATGGTTCAAGTAGTTCGCTTAAAATTTAATAATGTTTGAAATAGTTAGCTAAAAAATGAATAATGCTTGAAATATTAAGCTAAAAGTAATGGATAAATGGTGAAACTTCCAACTTCTCCAAGTGGTGGTAGTAGCCTGAATGCACTTGACCAAACCAACCTGACCATTTACAGTTCAATGGTCTCAAAAGATGTCGTAACATCCACCATTATATACACTCTCTGGAGTTCAGGGGTCACGTTTGGCTATAGAACGCCACCCTAGCAACTGATGTGGATTCAGTGTTGCTCAACAACACTTCAGCTGGGAAGATTCAGCTCTTGAACCTTCATCATAAACCCCATTAGCATCATCTTCTGTCTACCTTGGTCTTGTACTTCTGTGTTAAGCCTCAGTAGTTTGTGATTGTTTGTGATGGAAGGGGAAGAAAAGCCTGCTGTTTCCGTGGTCATAACCCGATGGCGTAGTCACAATTTCTTGCCTTTCATTCTGCCTCTGCTTGTTTATGCACTGCATCCTCAGCTGTGGCCTGGCTTGTCAGGCACTGGCCATGAGTTTGGCCTACAGCTTAACATTTCCCAGGTTTAAAACCAGGAGGGCAAAGGAGAGAGAGTCGTGAACTCTTCTGTTTACTCAGTACCTCAGAGTGTACAGCAGCGCTCTGTACTCACACAGTAGGGAAGAGTAACAGAGAGTGCTTTCAGTGAGTGATGAACTGAGCCCAAATCAAGCAGAGTGAAGGCAAATATTCCATCACAATGAGGTGGATTTCTCTTCTTATATCTGGAAATTGGAAAAATCTTTTTATTTTTTATTTGATCTGCTGAAAATTAATGGAATCGGGATTTTCTTTTACCCTGAATAGCATCTCCTTCTTAGATCTTCAACTGAATACACATTAAAACTTAATAAACTGAAAATACCATTAAGATGGAAAGTAAATTCTTAGCAAGCCTCTTGTCTGGAGTGCACTCATGCCACAACATGCCCAGTGCAGTTTTTCTTCTCATGTCTAATCAAGAGTCTTTGTTTACATAACCAAGGACTTCTAACTTTTGAAGCCTCGGGAACCAAAGGAACTTTAATTGATAGCTTCTGGTTTCACATCAAAACTTTCCATCCATCATCCTTCTTTTGGGTCTCGTCGGCCATTTAGTGGAGATGTTTGCCTGTCCGTACAAGCCTATTCTTGTGTTTCTGCGTTTAAAACAACTGAGCTGGGCCCCTTATTCCCATTTTTAAATGTTTTATTCTTTTTTTTCCCTTGAGTATTTAGAGTTTGAGGCAAAAGGAACACAGAAGAATTGCTTAATACTACACTAATGAAAGTTTAGAAGTTTGCGGAAAGGAAATTGAAAACCGGTTCACAGACAATGAGTCCCAATTTCACAATTGTTATGTTCATGTTTCTGGTTGTAAGGAATGCATGTCCTTGCCTCAGTCGCCGCTGGTACCAGCCTCAGTTATGATGAAAAACTCTTTGAGTATACTATCCTATTGTTAATTCGTCAAAGACACATTGCTCAAGCCTGTGCAGTTTATGTTGAGACACAGCCTCGATGACAACCCCTGCCTCCAGTTCATGGATCCAGTTTGTTGACTTGGAACACATTTCTAAGTGGGTGAAACGCTTTGTGTGTGTGTGTGTGTGTGTGTGTGTGTGTTTGTGAGAGACTCTACCTATCTGACGCTCCTCGCCGTGAGCAAAGGTTGACTGCAGAGATGACTGCCTGCTGAGGTCACTGTGTGCAGCCGGCGGCCTGGAGCCAAACACACAACCAAACTGAAGGGAGATGAGAAGTTGCCTTTAAAAGAAGGGCCAGTTCTGCATAGATACAGTCACCTGACAGGAGACTTTGCGTTTGACCTAGTTAATGTGTAATGTATAAGACTCAGACCCCTAAGTGGTTAAGTAATGTATCACAATTTTAACTGTTAATATGACTCAGCATCGATACCACCAGCAAAAAGTTTGCTTTTTGTGATAAATAAGCAATTAAAAAGCGCAGCTCAGCATGGCAGATGCGATATAACACACAGCATAGGTAAGGTTTTAACCCATACGGACATATTAGTTTAAAAAGATATGGAAATAAGTAAACAAATAAATGAATAGCTTCAATTTGAAAAGAAGAGAACAAAATGAAAGGGGATTGTGGTTTACCTCTGTGGAATTAAAAAAGAGGTAAATAAATAAAGGAAAATAATAGAAATAATGATGATAACAATACCTTATTTGCTCTAATCCGAGACCTATAAAAGATAAACATGTTTTATAATTTTCAATTAATTGTATTACTTTTTAATAAAATGTTACTTTCTCGAAATCTAAGGGCATCATTACTTCTTTAATCCAGTTAATCCAGAGTTTGAGCCATCGCCACTCTCCAGTTAATCAAAATCAGTCTTCGTGCCAACAAACTATCATATAATGACATTATAATATCTGAACTAGTTTTGCTGCACTTTATTTATTTTTTTGAAACGCACCAAACAAAACAATCAAGTGTTCTCATCTCTTCTCTCTCTGCAGGAGATGACCATACCGTGGTGTCTTAAGAGAGCCGAGCTGGTTTTCAAATGTGTCAAAGGTAAGATCAAAGTTTGATATTATATAACTGTAAATTAGTTAATTGATTCTTTTTTGGGCTATTATGCTAACAGCAGTTTACATTGCATCTTTTAAAATGAGTTGATGTGATGCAGAAGTTTGATAGCAGAGGTTTTCAGCTTTTTAAAACATGTACTGGACACCTTTCCTTAAAGTCAATCAGCAAGAGAGGTGAAGAGATAGACTTACCAGTGTGTCTACTGGCAGTATTGTGAATCTTCCACAATGCAAAGCTGATCAATAATGTGATATGTTGTAACTAAGAGGCACGCTTACTTCCTGTTGATTGCTAAAACAGTTCCTCTCTTGCTTGAGAGGAAGACAGTGCAGGTAGAAACATAATAATGTAATTACTTTAAACTTCAGCCTGTAATACAGCAAACATTACACATAAATATTTAAAAATTATGATTTTGTGTTAAATGTGTATTACTTTCAATCTTTTTCATTTGCAGGCTTCATGATGGAGATGGCCTCCTGGGATGGAGGTATATCACGCACTGTCCAGTTTCTAGTGCCAAAGGTGAGAGCAGAATGTACTACCTGCATTTTTGGTTTCACAACTTATAGCTGAGGCCCTTTGAGCAATCGCTTGCCAGCAAATCTCTGTGTTAATTCAACAACAGTGTATACTTAAGGCCTCACTGGTACACAAGATCACAAAAGGCGCACCTGGTCGTGCAGTTACACACCTTTTTAAGCACAGGCGGAGATAAAGAGACTGTTTGAAAAGTATAACCATAAATCATAGATCATAGAGTTTTAGGTTGTTTGCACTAATGTCTGTGATAAAACAGAGCTCAGACCCTCATCCACATAACATAAAAACAGATTAACGTGTATATTCCCAACATAATCTTGAACTTACTTGGATATCCACGTCTAACCTTATGTCATGCTTATGCTTCAGGTTCAGCTTCATCATTTTATCAAGTAATTGTAACCTCAATGCTGGATGAAGCATAACTGTTACTTTATTTTGGGCGCAGCTGGATGTTGTATACCTATAGCTTTTGTGGTTTGTCAGGAAGGCAGCAGAGCCTATAGCAAGATCTCATGTTGACAGGTTAAGATGATAAAAACCAGCGGCATCAAAGGACTCCAACTGTATAGGCTTCCTGTCAACATGCTCAGACGCTATTTAAAATAGCACTTCTTGTTTTCACCTACGCCTCAAAGAGACGCGCTAGCTAAATATATACCCCCCTGTGTTGGTGTGTGGCTGAAGGATGCGCGTGTGACTGTGTTTTCTGCTTAAAGATTAATACTTAACATTCTTATTTGACGGGTGGCGATGCTTAGAGTGACACGGTATGTTTCCCCCCGTTAAAGTCACAGCTGCTGGAGCTCACATCACTCGAGCATCTTGACTACCGTTCCCTCAGGATAAAAAGACCCTGGGATGTTGAACTAAAGGCCACCGCAGGGGCCGCTAACACTTTGGCTGTACACAAACGGTCCAGATGTATTTTTGTTTCATTGCTTCCCTTCCATTGTCACAGCGTACTGACTGCAAACGTGTATACATGAGTTTGTCTTTACATTGGTGCTGCAACAAATCTGAGTCCCTTGTCGTTCACTAATCCTGGTTGTGTCTCTTTTGTATCGACAGAGTATCTCAGAGGAGATGTTCTACCAGTTGAGCAATATGCTGCCTCAGATCTTCCGTGTCTCCTCCACCCTAACACTCACCTCAAAGCACTGATGGATCGAGACGCACCACATCGCATCCTCCAGACATTCAGGCTAACGGAGACGTTTATTTTAACAGCAGTTATATTTCTTGTTTTTCTTATCAGGACCAGTAACATGGTGGCATTACAGCACTTACAAAGAGTATTTTAAATGAGAAAAGACATTTTTATGCAACTGGTGAGCCTTTTTTTTGTATTTTATTTTTTGCACCTTCAAAAGCTACACACACTGTAAATGCTTCTTACTGAAAGAGGACTGGATTCAGCGGCTCACCAAAGCAGCTGCTACGATTATCATTTCAAGCCTCCGGGGTGCGGTTCTGGTGACAGAGTTTAATGACATCATGACATCAGCCGCCAGCGTTGCAAGTATTCCTTTAAAGCTTGCAAGCTCGTTCGAGCTACAGCATAATGGAGAAAGGGGTGTTGGTGAAGTTGTTTGAACTCGCTGGTACGACCGAGCGGATGAAGAAATGTGAAAACCAGTATTGTTTACGAAAGTGATGAATGCTACCAAGACAAATTCCTTGTATTAGAAAACTTGATTGGCAATTAAACTCTTTCTGATTTTGATTCTGAAGCTAGATGGATCCGGGACTGGAAATTCGGCCTAACAAACCTTATTAACATCTCTCAATAGCGGAGTTAGCAACCATGCTAAATGTTTTGTAATGTTTTCACCACACATAACCATACAGATGGATATAATAACAGTGTATCGATCATAAAAACCCTCAGCTCAGCTCAGCTTTGAATCAAATTGTGTAGTTTTAATATGCAGTATAAGGCCCCTGTCGACATTTCATCTGTTGAATGTTCACAAGTTAGTCTTGATGTATAACCACACAGTTCAGTCATCACATGAGATTAAGCAATCTAAGCCAATGCGTCATTGGCTTCATATTCGGAGGCTGATTTGTCCAGAGAGAAGTGGCATAAACTTGGCTCTTCAAGCCTTAAAGACGAATGGCGTTGCTGCTGAGATGAGCAGCGTGCAGGTGTTTTTTATGCTGCATTGCAGTGAGTTGTAGCGAGGATCACTCGTCGTGTGAGTGTGTGTGTGCACACGTGTGTGGTCCCTCCCCTCTACCTCTGTAACAGCAGATGGCACTGTTCTTAAAGACAAAGATGTGAAAAGAGTGACCAGACACACTTCTCTAAAGCCTGTTGAAATTCATCTCAAGACATTTTGGTCCGCATTCATCACAAACGTTCAGCCTCCGTGGTCTTGTATCTTCAGTGGTAACTACTCATGTATTCTGTGTATGTACTGTATATGTTTACATTTATATGTTTTAATAAAAACATCGCACTCACCCTTACTAATTTGATGTAAATTCTTAATGAAAGCATTTATAAGCTCATGACAGAGCTTCACATTTTGTATGATAATGTTGTTTTTTCCTCCCCCTCTGCCCAGAGTGATGCACTTCTAGTGGCATTTGGTTCAGCATTTAATTTAGTGTTGATGGGTTATCCACAGGCACATAATCTCTCTGAAGTTAATAATCCATGTCATTCATTGGAATTACTTTTCCTGCACATATAACGGTGACCTATAAGCTATTTCAGACAGACTCAAATCAATTCAGCTCGTCAGAGTTCTCCGCCGCCACCGTTCAGTGGTGGTATTAGATGATTAAAGCAAGTTGCCTTCTCTTCTTTCAAGATAAACAAAATGGTCAGCAACTGAGAGTTATGAGATTTCTTAATAGCTTCATGTTGAAATCTGCAACTCTTTATATCACACTACCATGCTGAGAACCCACAAAATTGTAAGAATATGTATTGCTGAGTGTTTAGCATTCTTGGAATTGGTCTCAGTGGCCTGGAGTGTTGGGTTTCCTTGGCTGGGTTTCCTTGGGCCATGGTCCACCTCTCCCTCCTGTGTCAGTGCTGTGCACGTGCTTGAAAATGATCGGGGCAACATTCACAAACCAGGGACATGGAAAGTATTCATTCATATAGGAGATTTTTCCCTTAAAGAACTGAGTTACACGTGGAAAACAAGTACCACGAGGCACCTGTTAAAAGCTGACAGTCGTGAAACCCAAAGCCCTCCTCGGTCAAACCAGCATGGGCTCAGGCACTCATTGGAAGGGGATGTCCGGTCACTCACAGGCACTGAAACATGACCAGGGAACAGTCATCGACAGCATGTGATGGTCCATAAATTCAACTGTCTCGAAGGGAACATTGTTTTGAGTCACTTTAAGTGGAAACTTTATTAAAAGAAACATCAGTTTACATTCATCTGATTGATGGGCCAACTGAGGATACCCCTAATGACTGTCACAGGAAGATACAATATATATTTATTTATTTACTGTTGTATTCATGACATCATCCATGAAAATGCTCAGGCATAAGTTTTGTCCTTTCCTGGGAAAAAGTGCCCATAGTTTTACCATTACAGTGTAGAATTATTCAGTGATAATTGATTTCCCCACCTAATTTAACTTGCCTGGGAATTACAAGTCTGAGGAATGGCATGCCAGCGCTTGCTGGACAGCAATGTGGTTACACACAAGAATTAAAGGATTGTCCAAATAAATAATTCGTTTTAATTAATTTAATTGGTTGTAAACAATTTATAATAACAGACGCATTTTTTTTTAAAACCGCATGTCTAAATAAAAACACATGTATTAATCTGTTTGTTTATTCATCTGTTTGTTTACAGCCGTTTTTCACACACGTCACAGATACCGCAACCGGAACTTGCTTGAAAAAATAAAATCTTGCGTCTCACTTGACCCGTATGAGGAACTTTTAAAAGAACACAAAAAAACAATAAAATATGCACCACAGTTCAGTTTCAACACGCACGCTGTTTTAATTACTTATTCGCTTCGTGTGGATATTTTCTTTTCGATGGGATTTTGTGTGTAAATAAAAGTACCCCCTTTTTATTTTGAAAAACCCACAGCGGAAGCCGTTGCCCTCATTGCTCCTACCTTGACAGCGGTTGTCACAGCTGGGTTTCTGGCTCTCTCCACAAGTTGAGCAACAGCGGTAGCGAGAGCAAGTTGCTGCATGGATTTCCCGGAGCTGCACACAACTAAAGGTGAAGTTTACGCGTTATCGTGTCCTTTTAAAAGCAGTTATATCTATTTAGCCTCGTTTATTGGACACAAAATCTAACGTAAAATGTAAACTTTAACGCTGTATGTGTGTGTGTGTGTGGGGGGGTTAAAACTTATTCATTGTATGTGGTAGTTTTTTTTTTTTCTTACCACGGTTGACCGCGTTGAAACAGCAGACAACGGGGTTTAAATTTCCACCCTGAAACGTCGGCGGGTGTCTCTTATATGTGTGCCTTAATTCAGGCGACGCCAAGAAAACCGTGATTTTTTATTTTTTTTGGCGGAGCTTAAAAATGCGAAGTGTGATTTGTGTTTTGGTTGTGACCCTTTGCGTCGCTGACTGCGGCTCCACCGACCGACCGACCGACCGACCGACCAGGGGCTCCCTGCACACTGATGCAGTTATAATAATAAGTTCTTTAACAGGCTTTAACCCCTTTCTGTCTGCAAGCATTTGGCGATGTGTTGGTGAGGAGCCCCGCTGTTTTGACACATGCATTTATGGGTGGGGGGGGCGTTTCAGGACACCCTGTTTTGGAAAAGTTGCTCCCCAAATCTCTTCCCACTGGTATTAAACACGCTTTTTTAAATGATTTAAATGATAATGATGGGTTCTTGTTGTTTTGTGTTGCATATTTTGTAGGTTTCAGTAGCTCAGATATCCAAATGCAGCATCTCAGGGATGGGAACAATATTGAATGGCAATATTTTCTGTACTGATTTTCAGAAATACTGTATTGATTGTGTGTTTTAATCCCCAACCTGCTAGGTATCAGTGTTGTAAATGTAATCTAAAAGGACTCTGCATTGAAAAGTAAACTTTTTTAAACTCAGATTTTATGCATATGGTTGTGTTTTCTGTATACTATGACAGTTTCCCTAAAATTAGATTTTAAAAAAGACATTGTAATATGTTAATTTGCTTACAGTATCACAATATATCGCGGTATATTGAATCGTAACCGCTATATCGTGATAGGTATCATATTTGTGCCAATACACAGCTGTAGATGACGTACGATATTATCCTGTATTGCGATAAATACACAAAATTTATCGTGATTAATTTCCACTATTGTGATTATCTTAAATCGGGACAATCGTGAATTTTTTTACACGGCTTGACTTTAAAAGCTGTCTAGCTCGCCAGCATACAGTCTTTTATTTTGAAAAAAGGGGACAAAGGGGGAGCCAGTTTCCACTTTCCAGTTCTTTCCGATATGTTTTATAACCATTTTTAAAAGTAAGAAGTATATTTTCATGATAATAACGTGATAATAAAGTGTTTCGCAATTATTTCTGCCACGACAATCGTGACGTGAAACTTTCACATCGTCCCATGCCTGGTTGTTTGGGTAATTTTGTTGTAGTGAATGTAAGTTAATGACAGTAGTAGAGCGACTGGCACATTTTAAAATCCTGAGTTAATCCGTCACTTTGAAACTGATTTACATCAAAACATTTGAAGTAAAACGCACTTAATTTTGTAATTTTGTTTTATTTGTACTGTGAAAACAAAATCCATAGTAAAACTACTTTACCAGGAATGTTTAACTAAACTAAGTTAGTGTTACTTAACTTACAGAATTGAGTTTGTGTT